GATTATTCATTTCCGTGCCATTGTAAAATCGTGAGAAGGTACCAGGGTCACATAAATCCTAGACGACGTCGTTCGACTCGACCTGAGATTACATAGGCCGGTCGTGGGCCATAAGTTGCGGTGTGGCCCCACTCGGAGGACATGTGCCCAACCGGCTCTCAATTATGCGGCATGAACCTATTGTGTACCTACTGTATTCTCGATATATTTAGAATTTGGCAGCCGATCATAATCAAAAACCAGTACCAAGTAAGGGTAGAATAATTGTCGATTCCACTTTATTTGTTCTGTATTAATGTATTAGTGGTAAAATGTAAATTAAAGTCTGCCATTTTAGGTACATATATAAATCTTCTGACTTTTAATCTTCATATTTCTAAAATAACTGGCTATTATTAAGCAACTTTTTATGGGGTACAAATTATTTTCATTTTTTTGAAGCTGAATAGAATGATTCATTTCCTAGATTCATGTCGGTGTATTAGAAAAGGGCCATTGATTGTGATAGAGGTAGGTGGCAATAACACGATACCCCGACCGGTTCCCTTAGCCAGGCGCATTCCGTCTACTTGCTGTACTATGCCTACCGGCTTTGCTTCTCGTTCAATTTGCATCGCGTGTACGCTGTTCTTGTTTTCCTCGAACACTTGGCACAAAGAGCGATATATTATGCGATTTACTTACCTGGCAGACAGCTCACTAATAATTAATTTCGTCGTGCAACAAACTGACATTACGTGTGTACTGAACAAAGCCCTCAATTATAGGAAGCAAATGCATTGATTGTTTCAATGGAAATTCTAATAGAAATTGATTGTTTTTAGTATGAAAAGTTGTTTATATTTTCACGAAAGTACCAGTTTTAAAATGCTTCAACTCAAGAACACATACTCGTAGAATAACTGTCGATTATTCTTCTGTGTTGTGATTATTTAAAATCTTTCTAATAATAATTAAAAATTGTTGTCAAGCACAACTTTCTGTACATATATTTTGGAACTAAATACAAAGCGGAATTGTATTAAAATAAATACTTGCATGATTTTAGATTGCGGACGTTGTTTTATCAGTATGTATTATTGCTATGGAGATATCGGTTGCCTGCTGTAGTTTATTTCTGTTGCACCCAGATTACTTGAGATATTTGAGCCTTTTTCACGAACAGAGAATTATGCAAACAAAATCTCACGATATCTGTATTTATTTGGTCTTAGTTGCGTTTGGTTGAGTATAGTTTAAAACGAATAGTTAGGAATTGACTATGTTATTGGTTTAACTAATAAGATTGAAAATAAGTTTGAAAAAAGTTATATGTGCTCTCATATAAATATATAAAAATTTTAACCAGTATCTTAGACCTTTTATTTTGATAGCCTTTAATTATATTTCATCATATTTTCAATATGATTTACTTTATTTAGTCGCGGGAAAAAGCTAGGATAATATATGATAAATACTTCAGACTTCGAATAAACGCGTTTTAAATTAAAATAAAACTTAACTAATAAACTGAGTGTAAGGAAATATTAGTACAAATTTTAATTATACTCAGTTTATTCCTAAGTTTATCTTTATACCGCGATTATTTGTAAGACTGTTAATGTTTTATCTTCACTTTCTCAATTTTAGTTTTTTGACATTTTCTTCCAATAAATTAGCTATAAGATAACTGACACTTCTAACAGTTGCGTCTTGATAGTTAATTACGATTTACACATTTCTTACTTCCTAAGAAACGACCCATTTTATTGCTAGCTTATTAAAAGTACATGTTTCCAATACCGTTGTAATTTAATGTTCAACAAACTCATCTCATGATTAACATAATAAATCATAATAGAAAGTTCCGACCACACGTATGTTGAAGCTATAAGCTTCCTTGTAACCTACCTTTTATAATATCTTTTACTGATTGTTATAAAGTCGTGCACTCATCGATTTTAATGATTTTAGGGACTAATACAAACGAAATTATTGATAACTAGCTGTCGCCCGCGACTCCGTCCGCGTAGAATAAATAAAACAAAAGTAAGTGGCCTATGTGTTCTTCCAGACTATTCTCTACATATATACCAAATTTCATCGAAATCCGTGCAACCGTTTTGGCTACAAACTCTAACAAACATCCATCTATCCATCTATTCATCCATCCATCTAAACTTCGCATTTATATTATCAGTATGAAGTATGATATTATGATTGAATTTACAACTAAGAAAATGTCATGCTTGTTATAAATTAGTGTTTAAAAAAAAACAACATTAATGTTCTGCAGTTTTGATGTTTTGTTGAAATTCAGAAAGATTGACTTCTTTAACTCGATTGTTTTTTGTTGCATTTTTGGAGAAAATTATTTATATTGATTTAACATCAAAAGCCGTTTTTTTCTGACCATTTAGATTTGCAATGTTTCTCCGACTTGTCGTGCTGGAAATTATATAGTAATGCGAACATTTAGCTGTGAGAAGGATTAATGGCTTTCTTGTCCTACATTGTAATCAATGGCGTAGCCGACCCTTATTTGTATGAGTCCTTTGAATAATTTAGTGATCGATATCCTGTATCTCTGGAGCACCCACGCACCCCGCAGCGCTCCATTCATCATTCTAGAACCATCAGAAAGGATCCTATTTTATGTCGTTACCTGCAAATTGTGTATTCCGCCAGTTTGTAATTAACCCATAAAAATTGTAAACAGTCGAAATATTTTGTCACTTTGTAAAGATTCATTTTTCACATTGTATTTAGTTGTGGCAAAATATCACGATAGCTTGTTTTAAAATTAATCGGCAAAAAATGTAAAATACAACAAGTTACTCTGTGTATTTCGATATGCAATTTGCAGACTTTATACAGTTTACGTAGGTAAATTATAAACAGACAGCATTCACAATCGGTCGGTGACAATGCATACTCCATTGTAATTTGAACCTTCAGTATTAGAATTGTAAGGTCAATAATTATTTTTATTCATCCTGATGCCCCGTATACGGATAGATAAAGCGATTTGCTTCTATTTTGGGCACAGATGCAGTTGGACTCTATCGACTTTGATAAATTATGGGGTTGGGGATGGCTTAGCAGTTTTTACAATTGTTACGTTAGTGTTTTTGTCCTCCTATCCTTAGGAAATATGAATGAATTTTGAACTTAAATGTGTTATTTTATGAATGAAATCAATCAAATTTAGTTAGAAATAAAATAAAGCATTGACTTTGAGCAAGGATTTTTCTAATACCTACACACAAGTTTACTACGACCGTAGATTTTAGTATTTATTGTTTTCATTGTTTAGGTTTTATGTAAGTGTGTGATATTCTATATTTTTTACGTATTTAAAATGAATTGAAAGTTTAATTATATTGGGATTGGAAAGCGCACTTGATAGATTTCTCTAGTGATAGCTTATAGAAAATCTTGCGGTCTATGTGAAATTAATAATACTGAAGTAATATGATACTAGGTGATATTAAATAAAAAAATATTAAATTGTAAAAGGTCTTAATTAAATATATTGTGAAACAAGTTGTAGTTATAGCTTTCGATAAACAAACAATATAATTGACTACGTAGGTGAAAATTGCAATGAAATATGTATTGCCCGCGACTTCGTCCGCGTGGTATTAGAAAACATACGAACTATATAAATTACAAAAAACTACGTATCCCTCGGGAACCGGGCATTTCTCTGGGATGAAGCTTATCTCATGTGTACTCCAGACTTTGTTTTATATCTGTGCCAAATTTCAATAAGATATGTTGAACCGTTGCAGAATGATCGAGTGAACATTAAAAAACTAAATTAATGAATCCCACAGGAACCGTAACTATTTCCGGGATAAAAAGTAGCCTATGTGTTCTTCCAGACTATGCTCGCCAGCCGTTTAGGCTACAAACGCTAACAAACATCCATCCATCCATTCATCCATCCATCTAAACTTTCGCATTTATAATATTAGTAAGATACTTGCAGAAGTTAGTAGTTAGGTTTGGGTTAACGTTGTTTTAAATTCTTTTTAGAATAATTGTTAACTAACAATCGTTTTGATACTTTTTTGGGATTGAAAGATTTCCATACCTTGGTCATTTTAAGTTTTAAGACCCAAAGACGAGGACATAAACATCCCTATTACTCTCTATTAATTAATTAACCAATTATTAATAAATGATATAACTAATACCGGTTCGTAATGTGTTTGTTTACAGCAAATTAGTGCACTATATGTTTATTTACAAATTCAATTAGTTTATTTTATTTACAATGTGTCTGGATGATCATTGGACCCAATTTCACTTTAATATTCAATTAACATATTTTGTAAACTTCTTATAATCGACTTGAAAAAGTTTTGAAGTAATTTACGTGTTTTAATTTCACTTGATAGAGTGGTACATTGTAGGATTGATGTTCTTAAAAAAATTACATAAAGATACCTTTTTATGGCAATCTAATTAAAGGCTTACGGCTAGTTTGCGGGGACGCCATGATGTTAATCTTGAAGCGTCAATAGCCCAGCGGTTAAAGGTCGCATTGCATAAGGTCGTGGGGTCGAAAACTTTTTCTCTATGTCTACCATATCCTTGTATTTTATTTTTATTAGAATACAATGTTAACCAAACTTATTTTCATTGTAAGAAATTTGGTCAACTTTGCTTTTTTTTAAATATGAAATTTGGTTAAGAAAACAATTGCTGTATTGAAGTGGTAACATTTTAAAAGATAGTTTTACTATTTAATGAATGATTGATTAATGTTTATATATTTTTCCCGTTTATTATGTATAGTTTAATTGTCAGGGTTGTGGTTATGTACCGGTTATATACGTGTGGCTGCGCCGAAGGGCACCATCCCATCACTAGCGCGCCTCGTGCGTCGCACGCAGCGACCGCGTGCATGTATATTTGTATTTACTGTGTTGTAATACATAGCATCACCTATCATCTTAATCGATATTTATCACTACGTAATAATGTAAACAAAACTTAATGAGGCGCATTCGGTGATTAATATTTACAAATTGGTCTATACTTAGCGAGGAACGATGCGCGAGCGCAGGTTTTCTATCATTCGCGCCCCGCGTTCGAACGGAGTGGTCGTGCGCGCTTCGGTAAAGTTTAACATCTACCCTCGTTACCTTTTAAACACGCGATCGATGAGTGACAGTTATCAATAGTGGTTGAATTGCACAAATAATGTTCGTAATCTGCAAGTAAACAGTAGTGTTACTCAGTCTGTACTGGATGTGGCTGTGCTAGATGGATCATTGTGAACAGAATAGTGAATACTCGCCGGGTATCAATATGTCGCTGGAGCAAATGCCGGTTCTCATAAAAAAGGTAACATTGTTTATCGATTGATTACCCATCACTAAACTTTGCCAATTTTAATCACGATACTTTCTCTTGGTTGGAGATTCTAATCGATTTAATAATATTTCTTTTTCGTTTATTAAACTTTAATGAAATAAATTATCTTACTTATGTTTACTTGTTCAGTATACGCTTTATTTAGATAAAGTGAAAAGATAGTCAAACAAAATGCTCAGCGAATGGCGCTTGGTGACTGCTAATTATTTATTTTTACTTCGTTAGGTAATCTTTATATTGGCAATGCTGTTGCTAGTTGAAATATTTCTACATCCAAGATAATGTGACTTTCCTGTCTATATTAAATCTAAGTTTATAATACTCCGTTAAGTAATCCTGCCGCAGTTCACCTAAGTAGTTCATGTATCACTTTTCACTGCTAACTTAACTACGGTTAAACTAACATCGGACTTGACTAACATTCTTTAAAAATTGACAAAGAGAAAAATTAGAACAAATAATTTTGTATGGATTATTCATTTCTTTATATATGTAACAATGGATGCAAGGTTTTATTTATTTTTATATAACCTTGGAGAGAAAAATAGCACAGCAAAATGTAAAAAACATGTGACTTCTTTCTTATGAGATGAAATATGTAGAAAGTAGGGATAGTATTGTAGTTAGTGCTTGAAGGTTAAAGTCGAAATATCATAGAATCGTACTTGGGAATTTTTTGTGTATAAGTTAAAATGAACTAGTTTTTGCCCGCGACATCGTCTACGTATTATAAGAAAAAAAAATATATCCTATGTGTTCTTCTAGTCACAGTTCTATTTCTATACCAAATTTCCAGGTTCATTAAGTCTTTCTTGAGATACCTTCTAACATCCATCCATCCATCCGAATTTTCGTTGTTATAATATAAGTAAGATATTCTTGCATAATGTAGTTATTGCTGTACGAAATTACATACATTCCGGTTTTTATTCCCAGACGAACTTCATATGATTTGGAGTTTTTTTTTAATTGTAATGTTACCTGCTTGTTACTCTGGAGAGTCATAGTATCCCCGGAAGTTTTAACAATTGTTACCATGGGATTTTTTTTTATTATGACTAGTAAATACGTGAGAACCGATAAATGGTCGCCGTCCGTGCCGATATGAACATTCTTTGGATACCAAACGAACAATGGTATTATAAAACATCAAACAATAAATTGTAAACAAATATAAATACACACACACAAGAAAATAGGTTTTTTTTTTGTCAGGGGACTTTTCTTGTTTTATAGATATATATTAAATCTATACTTCTATACTATTATAATAAAGCGTAAACACACACTTCTTTGTTGTCTAACATATCACCAATTACAGCATATTTTTGAATAATTCTATTTTTAATAAAAAGCCCTACACTTACGTCACGCTTTAGACTATGTTTTCACGACATTAAACTTAGGGGTTAAATATTTTGGATAAAAACCCTAATGCGGGAAAGAGACCATAAGTTGCTGCCAACTTCAGGGAAGCAAAATTGCCATACTTTGTCATCATGTCATGACATTTTGACATTTGCAAATGAATATGACAAATGTATTCAATAAAACAATTTTCATAAATTCATGCGAATGAAGTCGCAGAGGAACAGCTAGTAACTGTATAAAATTTGCTATAAGAATGTACCAAACATATTTAAGCGATACAATTTTATTGTAAAAATTTGGTCCCTAAATTGAAGACCAATTTTAAGTAGTTAAAACTACATGCTATGGTTAAAATAATTACAAAAATTGACACTAGAATTATACAATTAAATGCATCTTTCTTTGAACGCACGCAATAAGAATAAACGTATATAAAATAATTCTAAACTATGCAATACGTTGTTGCAAATTGCACTTAACTTGATTTAGGATAAAATGACACGGTGTGTAAAACGTTACCGGGAGCTACATATATTTAAATAGACCATCACTTACCAGTCCACTTATCCTATGGTAAAATTATAAGTTACCGTCTACCGCTAACTTGTATCGTATCATTATATCCAGTCGACGATGGAATGAATAGCTTGGTACACAAATCATATTGATAGATGACAATCGATAGGTCTTAGTAGATGTGGGAACGATTTTCACGTATTTATGCGGTTTCTGTAAAAGCGTGCGCACACCAGAAACTAAATTATCGCACAATTGTCAGTCGCGCTTTGATTCCTATGAGCTAGGTGCGCACACTACTCGATTTTTAGTTCTGCAACTAAACATTTAATTGGCTACGAAACAAACGACAATCGCACAACAGTTGTGCGATAGTTTAGTCAAAGGTGTGTGCCTGCTCTTATAGTTGAATGTTACGTTTAACATTTTAAAATTATGATAGCCTATGGATACTTTAATGAAATAATGTCACTGGGTTTCATCAGCCGACCTCGAACTGATAGCTTATTTAAAAAAAAAATTCGTGCAGTAAACCCAATTACCGTGGGGTTCGTCCACCGGTACGTTTAAGATATTGTGGTCCTTCTCTTTTTTCTTGGGAGAAATAGAGACAATGATATGTTTTTGGACAGGTAATTCGGTAGTGGGAATAAACGTACACCTTTTGCCTTTACTAGAAGGCAACCGAATTTGACAATTGTAAACAATAAAAAGAGTTTTTATAATTCTATGCGGATGAAGCCGCACGGGAACAGTTAGTTCAGTACATGATATTCTAATGTGTCCTGAGGCAGCTTTCCAACAACACTTAAAATAACTCAATCAAAATCACGTATAAATATATTTTTACTTGTCATTGACCTCACATTGAGAATCCCGAAATAACTAGTCTCAGATCTGAAGGTTAATATGCCTATCAATAAGGCGTGCATTTCGCACAACAAAACGTTTATCACTGTTTATACATTTTAACATTAAAACAAATGAATAATGTATTTCAATGATTGTAATAAAATAGGTTATGGAAAAAATTTTAATCACTTTGGTGGTTTTAAATGATCGCTTTAAAACAACTTTTCACAGTAAGTAGACGATATTTGAATTATGAAAGAAGTCAATCCTTGTGGAGCTGATGATTGTGGGTTACACTTCATTATTCTTGTCTCTTTTGAAATATAACTTCAAAACACAGCAAATGAAAAAAAATTAAGAGTCTTGTAACCTGATAAATGTTGAAAAAGACAGGCAAATTATGTTTTGTATATATTCGAGGGTCGATTGTTAGAATTTTATCTTTATGATATTTGGGATATGAAATGAGTCTAACAATGATAAAAATTACCGGATACCTTATCTAGTACAAACGAAAACCGATGATATACTGATACTGAAGCGTGTGATTACGTGCTCCGTAACAAGTCATTGTAATGATGAAATAATAATAGGTCATACGTTATAACGTCGATACAGTCTGATCTGTGAATTAACCTGTGATACCAAGTCCTTACGTTTTCTATAACACGAAGAATGGGAACGTCTAATAGTGGAGATACCACTAATTAGCTAAATAGAACAGATACTGATAGCTTCTTCCCTTCAATGTTTACCAAACCGTTATGCAATCTTTAGTAGGAAACATACATATGACATATCAATTGTCTGTTGAATGAATTGGGTTACAACGTCAAAGATAACTAGGTAGGAGTGGGCACAATTGTCTATGATGGCCAATTAACAATCGTTTTATATCGTAATTGGTAATAGTATCGTATGATTTCAAACAACAGGAGAAACTCTTGACATTGTTAGTAATCAACGGCACTTCCTTCTTCCTTAACTGAATTGTGTGAACTAACAAATTCATTTTGTCAGTCCACTTTAGGTACTTTCAGTCTTTGTGTCGTAGACCTTTTAAAAGTTACTGCCCTGTTTTCTTCTCCAACTTATGAACCCTCAACTTTATTTCCTCATAATCTTAGACCTCCGCACATCTTCTGTGGACTGGACAAACCAAACAGTCTTCAATAAGATTCTTTGACTTGTATTCAAAGACCGACAGTTCCGTTTCCCACACTGTTATGACATACGTACATCTGTTATGGGTTCATAAATTAAACAGGAAGGTAATTTAGGCTTCGATTTCATATTTGATATGCTTGTTAAATCGAATAATGTCATCATCATCAGAAATATTATGTCATTTCGAGGAATATGATGGAATAATTAAATATAATCTGCGTTGGCGTTCCTTGAATCTGCGTCACAGAATACCAACGATCATTTACGTGCTAGTTACGCATCCACAGAAATTCTCATTCATTAATTCCTTATAACATCTATGTTATAATTTCAGTTTAGAAGTTACTAGCTGTTGCTCGCGACTTCGTCCACGTGGAATTAAAAATAGTAAAAAATATAGCCTTTATTACTTACTGATAACGTAGCTTTTTAATGATGTAGAAATTTTTAAAAACGGCCCAATATTTTTTGAGTTATTTCAATACATACAAAAATACAAATCTCGCCACTTTATTATCTTAGATAAATTAACAATTTGTAACGACCACTTTCTTCAAAGTAGAAATAATAACTCTGAAAACTAATATTATCTAAATATTCTTAACTTTAATATTAAATTATATTTAGCTCACAGAAAAACATTCAAGTGAATTGTTAAACATTTTTGTTATCTGTGTAAATAATGTGCATAATGCATCATATGTATGAAGCTCATGCGCAGTGCAGTGCCAAGGGCAGCGGCCCTACGTGTCGCATAGCTGTAGGACTGGTTCCCCCATCCTCGAATATGTTTATAAGATAGTTATCCAATCTTATCGAACGCTTTGGTTTTGCTGCAACTCTCAGAGACTTAAATCACTATAGGTTTCCCTTAGTCACGTCTTACTATACTTAAGAGTAATTCATTCGTGTAGATTTCGGTATTCAAAACGGGTTTGCAGAAAACGGTTTACAAATAATAGAAATGATGACTTGTGTATTTCCAAATCAAAGTTTTTTCAGTGGTTAAAGTTTTATCTACCTATGTATTTAGATGTACAGATATAAATATGAATCATGTTTTT